GCTGCTGCTGCTGCTGCTGTTGCTGCTGCTAGCCGACGCGCCCCACACAGCCTAGCCGAATACGGCCGCTCTAACACGGGGTGCTCGTGCCCACGGCTGCCCTTCAAGACGCCGCATCGGCATCCTCGGAGCGCCAGCCTCGGAGCGCCAGCGACTCTGATGAGCGACGCTCACTTCCGCCGGCGTCTTGAGTCACGAGGCAATTTCTGCATCCACGTTGGCTAGTCCCACAGGCTCAGGCTCAGCTTCGGTTCTGCGTTGGGCTCAAAACGAGGTCGCCACGTCGGAAACGGCCGAAGCCGCAAGACAACCCGTCGCCCCCAAAGATGTGGTTGGGGTTGATCGGATCTCGATCGATGCACCATCGGGAGGTTGCCATCGGTGCGAGCCGCGAGCCTTTTTTTGGACCTAATTTCCGCCCCCAATTTTTCAAGCCCCGACCGCGCCGCCGAAATTGTGATTAGAGAGTTGGAAGTGCATGGATGAGGTGGGGTGGGTTGAGAGAGGGCATCGCCTCGTCATGCTGCTTCTCTGCATCGCCCGCCTCGGCCTCTGTGCAAATGCGCCGATGCTCGACGGACGATTTGGGCTTTTGGGCGATTCCGACTGACCGGCTGCACCGCCCCTCGGCATCCCAAAATTCAGGGGAGAGTTAGTTGGTCTCACCTGGCTGGACAAAGCGCACGCTCTCCTTCTCTCCTTCCCTCCCCCTCCCCCTCCCATCATCTCAACCTTGAAGCTTGACAAAGGCTCGCTGGATTCGTCACGATGAACAGCTCCAACTCATCTCACAATTTCCGCTCCTCCCCGGCCAACAACAGTCCGGCGTACGAGCAGCACAACATGCCCGCATCCAACTCCAACTTCAACTCCTTCAACACTCGCCAATCGGCCTTCCAGCCATCCCACTCCCACAGCCAGTCCACAAGCGTGCTTCTCAACTCGTCTTCACGCTCCGGCTTCCGTTCACAGTCGCAGCAGTCGCAGCAGTCGCAGCAGCAGCAGCAGCAGCCCGGCTCCAACCGCTCCGTCAGCATGCGTCCCATGTCTGCTTTCCAGCCGCTCGACAATCCAGACTACTACAATGCAGGCGCCACCTCCAGCCCCACCTCGCCACGCCCGCCTTCCCCTACCGGCTCCACCGCAAGGTCCATCCGCTCCACCGCCAACACCCCGCTCACCTTCAAGAGCCACGACCTCCGCAGCGCTCTCAGCCTCCAGGAGTCCCAGCAGAAGAAGCTCTACATGGAGGGCTATCTCCTCAAGCGCGACGACCTCGGCACCGACGGAAAGCCCCTCAACGTGGCCGACGACAAGCGTCGCTGGTCAGAGTGCTTCGTACAGCTCTCCGGCACCGTCCTCAGCCTCTGGAACGTCCAGCAGATGGAAGACGCCGCAACTCGCGGCACCGAAGTGCCCCCCACCTACATCAACATCACCGACTCCTTTGTCGACTTCATCGGCCTCCTCATCGAAGATCCAAAACTCATCCCAGGCAGCCGCGGCCGCTACCACCACGCCTTCGCCATCAACTCGGCCGGCAACAACCGCACCATCTTTTGCTTCCGCGACCCTCCGCCCTTCCCGCCCGACTCGCTCGAACAGTACCTCGCCCCCGAACACCGCAACAAACCCGAGCACCGCACCGTCATCGGATGGCTCAACCTCGGCCATCGCCACCTCCAGGCTTGGATCAACGCCATCCGCCTCGCCTCGTGGGAAAAGGTGCGTCTCGAGGAGATCTACACCGGCGCTCTCATCCGTGCCCGCCTCGGCGCCGTCGGTGGCCCCGCCTCGGCTTCCGCAGACGCAAAGCAGGCTCCCGCCGTCTCGGCTTCCGACCTCGCCATCAAGTCGCCCCTCGTAAAGGGTAAGATGGAGGGCTGGGTCAAGGCTCGCTTCATGGGCTCCACCGAGTGGAAAAAGGTCTGGATGGTCCTCACCGACCACAAGCCAGACGAGTCCGAATTCGGCGCAAAGAAGAAGTTCTGGAAGATCGGCTCCTCCGCCGGCGACCGCTCCAGCATCATGAGCGTCAACAGCGTATCCACCGCCGCTCCCGGCGCTCCCGGCGCAGACGGCAAGGAGCTCCCACCTCCTCCCGGCAGCAACGGCGCGCCCGGCGTCGCCAGCTTCTTCGAGTCTAAAAAGGACAAGAAGCCCTTCGCCAGCCTCATCTACGCCGCCCACGCCTTTGCCGTCTACCCCTCGCGTCCCGAACTCGTCGAGGGCTCGAGCCTCTTCAAGATCGAAGGCGTCTTCCCCAACTCCACCGTCCTCTCCGCCACCCACCGCGTCCGCACCACCGGCTGGGTCATGCTCATGCCAGAGCTCGACACTGCAGGCAGCAAGGGCGCCAACGCAGAGATGATGAAGTGGATCATCGCCTTCATGGACGCCTTCAAGCTCTACGGCCGTCCCGACGCCTTTGTCTGGGAGGCTCGCGACCCCGTCTCGCCCTTCTTTGCCTACCCCATCGGCCCCTTCAAGGACCGCCTCTTCCTCGACAGGGAGCTCGCAGAGTTCCTCGAGATCGCACGCGAGGACCACCTCACCACCCGCTCCGCACTCCACGGCATCATGGCCGCACGCATGCGCGGCGAGCGCACAAAGATCCTCCAGCCCCTCCCGCCTCCGTCCCAAAACACCGTGCTGCCCACCCGCACCCCCACCAGCGTGCCCATGGACGACTCTCGCTCCGCCGCTTCGTCCAACTCGCGCCTGCCGCCCCTCGACTTTGCCGCCAGCCAGCCCGCCGCACAGCCCGCCGCTCCGGCGCTCGCACCCACGCACCAGCAGCAGCACCAAGAAGATACCAGAGAGCTTCCGGCCGAGCTGCCCGCAAAGCTGCCCCAAACCTTCAAGGATTCGGCGCGCGGTGACGCTCGCAACGATGAAGAAGCTCGTCCGGCTTCGCCCGACTTCGACGGCTACCGCCCACCGCGCGAGACGCGTCCCGGTCAGATGCCGCCCACCTACACAGGCGCACAGACACAGACCGCCACCACTGCCGTGCCGGCTGCACTCACCCCTGCAGGTCCGGCCGGCGCCGTGGCTTCCGTCAGCCTCGCCGCCGCCGAGCCGCTTGTCAACCGTGCCCCGGTCGCCGCACCGCAGACTGCAACGCTCGTCTCCAACGACGCGCACGCAGCTCCTGCAGCCGTTGTGCAGCCCACATCGCAACCGGCTCCAGCTGCAGCAACCAGCCCAACTGCCCAACAACCCACACACGCGCAGGAGTCTTCGCTCGCCTACCTTGGTGCGTCCAGCGCATCGCACGCCACTTCTCCCACTGTGGCGTCCGAGCCCGCTGCTGCCCGTGCTGCCCCTGTCTTTGGTCCTTCCGGCAGGGGCGCACAACAGACCAGCTCGGACGACGTGCGCGGTTCCAGGCGCGAGTCCCTGCCCACCAACTACGACGAGAGTGCGCTCTTCTATATGGCCTCCATCTCTGACCAGCTTCCCGCCCCGACCGCACAGCCCGTCGTCATGTCCGGCCCCAGCCGCGCCGTCGTCACCAAGGAGAGCTCGCTGGCTTCGCGTCCGCAAAGCCTCGCACCCGCATCGGGCACCACCTCCGCCATCCAGTCCGAGAGTACGCACACCACCCGTCTTTCGTCGGACCAGGCACAGGCGGCCAGTGTGGCGGCACCGGCGCTCCCGGCCGCCGCTGCTGTGGTGCCTGCGCAGGACCACCACGTCAAGTCCGTCGACCAACCCGCGTCGAGGGCAAACCAGACGGCCGACGACTCGATCAACGACGATGCGCTCGCGGCCTACTCGTTCTTGGAGCAGCCGCCTTCGCCCGCGCTTCGCACCGCTGAGCTCGCACGTCGATCCACGGACGCCGAGCGCAGCCCCGTGCCTTCCGTTGCTGCACCCATCGTGACGCAGACGGCGCCGGTGTCGACGAACGAGACGTCGAGCTTCGACGCTCGCCCTGCGGCTGTGCAGTACCCGTCGACGTTTGGACAGAACAAGCGGGCTGCCGAGCGCAAGTCGATCGCTCAGATGCAGGCGCAGGCGCACCAGGAGGCGCTCTCCAAGCCGGGCCGTGCTGGCGGCGCCAAGCCCAAGGGCCTGCGCCGTCCTGGCTGGGTCGACGACAGCGAGGAAGAAGAGGACGAGGAGGAGGAAGACGAAGAGGAAGACGATGCCGCCGATGCTGCGCATGCAGGCCCGGGTCTGGCTCAGCGTGCCGGTGCAGGAAGCGCGGTGCGCTCGGCGGCTAGCTCGAGCCGCGGCGCACCGGGCACCGACTCGCCCGTCAACCTCGCCGACTCGGTGGGCAGTCTGGGCCGCAGCCACGACGCCGCTGGGCAGGCTGGAGCTCCGGGTGCGTTCCCTCGCTCGGCGTCGGGCTACGGCGCGAGTGTGCTGGGCGGTTCGCGAAGTGCGTCGCCGGGTCAGTCGCCCGCGCGTCCCGGCATGACGCATCCGTCCATCCAGGCGTACCAGCGCCAGTCGATGTTCAACACGCACCTTGCCGCGGCTCACGGCGACGATGCGCGGTCGCACACGCCACCGCAGGCACCACAAGGTCCGATCGTACGCGACCGCCAGACGTTCCTGCAGCTCAACCCAGAGGAGCAGCCCGGCGCGATGACCACCGTCTTCACGCCGCACGGCCTTGTGCAGGCGGGCGCGCAAGACAAAGCCGAGCGCTCGGCCAAGGCGCAGGAAGCCGAAGCGCGTGCGATGGGCAGCCATCTGGTCAACGTGCCCAACAAGCCTCCGCCTCCGCAGGCGGGGTTGTTGGGAGCCATTACGGCGCACGAGCGCGACCGCAAGGGTGCGGGTGGTTTTGGCGCGACCCTTACGGAGCGCGAACGCGAGCGTGTGGCAGCCGAACGTCGACAGCGCGACGAAGACGCCGCGAGGCAGCAGGCGCAGCAGATGCAGCAACAGCAGATGCAGCAGATGGCCTACTTCAACCCCATGATGTACCAGCAGATGATGATGTCCGGCATGATGGGCGGCATGGGCGGCATGGGTGGCATGGGCGGCATGGGGATGATGGGCATGGGCATGCCAGGGATGGGCGGCTTTGGAGGCAGCCAAATCGGCGGTAGCCAGATGGGCTTTGATCCTATGATGGCTCAGCAACAGGCGATGCAGGCGGCGCAGATGGCGTACATGAAAGCGCTGCAGCAGGCGCATGAAGGCTCCGTCGTCGGACATGGATCGCCGGGAGCGGCGCCGGCGAGTGCGATGGGCATGCAGACGGGTATGCCGTTCGTGGCGAGCCCGCACATGAGCATGATGGGCGCCCCCTATCCTGGATTCATGGCGCAGTCCGGCATGGGGAACAGCGAGTATAACGGCGCCACCAGCCCGTCGCAGAGGCCGAACAAGCCGAACGGCCAGAACTGAAGTGCATGTAGAGGGTATGGTCAGCCTCTCACCACCATGCACCACGCCAGGCCAGAAGCAATGTCGGGCGTCATGTGTGGCGTCCAGCGCCGTCGTCAGCTACTTCGAGCGGTAAGCCGGCTCGAAGCAGGCAAGGATGGACACTTGGAAATATCATCTTTTGTCGCTCGGATCTGCCAAGTTTTGTGCGTGTGGGGCGTGATGAAAGCGAGACTTTGTGGGCATGTGCGCTGGCGTCTGGCGGGTTTGATGTCATAAACGGAGAAGGTGGAGGCACGATACGGTCTGGGCTTGACGCAGCAATGCCATCCACAGTATGTTCGAAATTGTCCTCCTCGATCACCATGGCATGGTGTAGCTCGAGCGTGCAGTGCGACGATACCTGTTCGCGTCGCCTTTCAACGTCGACGGTCGGAGACCAGCTCTTTGGCAGAGACCTCTGACGCCGGTGGACAAATCAAGCTGCCACCTCGTGCGCTCGATCAAAAACATCGCCTGGCCACAGCAAATAGATACATCGAGCAATGTGCGATTTCAGACCATCAACGCTGCACGCAGCGTGCGTAAATCAGCGCAGTTGTCAACAGCAAACATTGGATCGTGAGTCTATTCGGGATCGCCTGCCCCAACCATAAAGAAGCGAGGTGAGCAGCCGGATCCAGGCGATCGATTCTCAGTCAAGATCTTGCCAGCGACTGCTTGTGCAATGAGAGCGGGATCGACGCCAAGCTCGTCGAAAGGCATCCATCCTAGAGGTCATGAGCGCCACGAGGTTCGTGATAGAGTCGTGTTCGCCAAGAGCCCTTACCACAGCAGTCCCGTTGGGCGCCTCAACAAGCCCCAACACAGACTCGACATTTGCGCCGAAAGATGCGCCTGCTCAAAGCCCGCAGCAGCAATCCTCTCAGCTTTGGCAAGCGTCGCCTCCCACTTGCCCAGCCTACATGGCAGGCTCCATCCCACCTCGAATTACGCCGGGCCTTCATCAAGCTTACGATGCGGCCTGGAGGTTCTTTCTCGAGACGTACGAAAGAGGCTAGCACGGACAAACACTCTCGAGCCTCGAGAAGCTTGCCTCTTGTTTCCCCGCCACAGTCTCTGGACATAGTCAACGCCGAGGACAAGCTCTTCACCCGCGTGTCAAAGAGTTCTGGACGAGTCCGATCAGTTAGATGATGGCAAAGAAGCTCCCCTCAAAGCGATCCTCAAAAGGTGTCTCTCCCATCCCCTGCTCAGACACATTGCACAACCTCTGGCGCAGCCATTCTAAGAATCTCGTGGCGTTGCAACGAGCACTTGCAAAGGGTTTCCTCTATGGATTGGTCTAGTGTACAATGTGTAGCTGCGTTCGAACGTGACAAATCGAAGCGTGCGCGGAGACTAGGACTTCCACGCCGCGAGCGTGACGAATCCCTTGTCGAAGCGCTTCTCGAGGCTGAGGATCATCCAGGCGGCATCGGAGGCTTGCCACTCGTGCAGAAAGTCGGCGAGCGAGTGGTGGCTGCGCATCTCGCATGCGACGAGCACGAGCGTATGGCTGGGTGTAGTAAAAGCATTGATCGTCGCGATCAACGCCGGAAACAGCGCGGGGTTGTAGATGCAATCGCAACAGATGATCAAGTCGACCACCGCGCCATGCGCGTTGGTGGTGGAGTGCAGTCGATTCAAGATGTCGCTCCTGCGGATCTGGAGCGTGTGCGAGGAAGGCGGATTGTAGAAATCGAACCAGTCGAGTTGAGCCGTGTGTACCCCGGGTAGGGCGTCTGTGTTCTTGTCCAACAGCGCCACCAGATCGTGCTGATCCGTAGCCAGCCACGTCTTGCACACCGGACCGACGAGAGCAGGCAATGCGCCCGTCCCCGCTCCCAGCTCGAGCACACTCGCGTCCCTGAGCGCTGCGAGGTCGAACAGCGCCCCGGTGCGGACGCGGATCGCCAACTCGACTGTGGAACGCCAGAGCACGCTACCCGTATTGCCCTTGGTCGAGCGCAGGCTCGTCACGTCCTGATGCACGGCAACGGCGTCCGACAAGTTGCGCGCGCTGAGCGCCGAGTTCCAGCGCTGGCCGTCGATGGCGACGAAGATGCGGTCCGCCGAGTGGTTGACGTAGCCCAGCCCGCCGTCGTGCTCGGCCTTGGCGTGGAGCGTATACAGCAGAAAGATCTCCTCGTCCACATCGGCCACCACACGCGCGGGGCGTACGTGCAGAAGCGCCGACGGACACGCGGGAAGATCCTCGTCGCCGTCGTCCGAGCTGTCGCAGCTCGTGCGTGGTGTGCCGCCCATGATGGCCGCCATGGTGGCAAGAAGCTTGCCGCTCGCAAAGTCGACGTCTCAGGGTCCAAACCCTGAAAACCTGCGGACCAAAACTAAAAAAAAAAAAA